GCCCTAAGCCTCAAGCCCTAAGCCCTAAGCCCTAAGCCCTAAGCCTAAACCCTAAACCCGAAACCCGAAACCCGAAACCCGAAACCCGAAACCCGAAACCCCAAACCCGAAACCCGAAACCCCAAAACCCTACAACCCTCAACCCGAAAACCCTAAACCCTAAAACCCTAAAACCCCTAAACCCTAAATCCTAAACTCTAAAGGATGATGAACAGGAACTGCGCAAGCTTGACGACAAACCAAGCCTTGCTCACAACCTCCTAAATAACGCCGGCTGTAAGGGCCCCGCGCAGGCTCCGAAGTTCGGATGTTGCTCCTATGATTCAGGAATAAGTAAGGCTTTCGATGCTTCATTGTTAGCGGCTCAGCTTTCTGGTTTGCTGGTGCGATCTTGTTGCTGAAAAGCTTCGGAGCGATTGAATAGGGTTCACTGGGCTGTTGAAGGATACAAAAGCCTGGGGTCTCAAGATTGGCCGAGTCTGGCCCCCTTTCGCCCCCGTGTCCAGAAGTTTAGGGGGCCTTGAAGCTACCAAGGCGAATCGCAACCCCACGGTGTGACCTGAACCCCCGGCTTTGACAAATACGAAAATTTTAGAATGAGATTTCTTGAAGGTTCGGAACTTCTAATGGAATTAATCGGAACTAATGCCATAAGACGACAGTAGAAAGTGTATGCAGAATCAGGAAAGCCCGAAAACAGCAAACGGACAACTCCAAAGCAGTATGACCGAAACCCTAATTTCTACAGTGTTACAGTGCAGTTAAACATCTCTCTTGAAGCCCCAAACACCTGTTAAATGGTCCCAATCACTAGCTCTAAAGTGGCCTCCTTCGGCATCGAAACTCGGATCATCTTCAACCTTTTCCTCCTGCACTGGCTTTCGACCCACCGAGGAGAGATTCAGGCCGCGAAAGGGCTTCTCACTTACGAGGATTGTAGGTCTTGTATGCTTTTGAACATGTTTTGGGCTTGCATTCAGAATTCACAAGGGGACATCTCACATGGGCTTATTGTCGAGCCCTTTTTGCAACAAACGTTTCCGCGGCAAGTTGAACATGTGGATGCGTGAGTCGATAGCCCTCAACATCTGCCCGAAACTCTGGAAAGTGAGAAGCCGCTTAACTCCAAACTGCCGAATCTGCTTAAAGTCCTGGAGGATGCACGTTTGTGAGCGAGACCCTGAACGACCCGAATGTCCTTTGCACACAGCAAATCTACCAAAACCCGTGAGGCTCCATTCTAGTCGATGCTTTACGGGTCTCAAAAATGGAGTGGTTGTCTCTAAACACATACATTCGCTTGTTTCGGCATTGAGTGTGCGAATTGGAGTTTGAGCTACATTCGGCTGCGCGGGCCCATCTCATGTGGTGGCATCAATGCGAGCCGTGGTCCCAGATCGGAGCAAATTTAAACGATTCCGATTGATTAAGTAAGGTGTATAGAACCAAGAACCCCTGAAACCAAAAAAAACACAACAAAATTAAAGCTCTAGAATCCGAAAACCGTAGGAAGAATTGATATAGCAGTGCTGTTGATATACCGCAAACTCTACTCCAATAATACAGAGGCTATATCAAACCAATCCCCATTGAATATGGCCTGAGCTAGCTGCTCCCACAAATGCTCGCGACCAAGAGTATCCAAGCCTGGACAGCACCTCACAAATCCAAGCGGGTTTGGTTTAAGGGATCTTTCGAATTGAAATTTTAAGATATTGCATCTGTCTTTGGATGACCTGCGTGATGGCGCTGCACGCGGCCCTTGTTCGTCCCAACTTGCCGTTTCAACACAAAGTGCTGTCTCCAACTTGTCGAGACAGCTTCAGACCCAGGGGTCCGTGCTGCAAGTGGAACGCATGCAATTCCAACAGAAATACCAACAGACCCTGCCAGTGACCCGGCCTCCTCTAGCCCTGGGCAAACCACGGCACTGCTGTGGAGCTGCCACCTGGTCCTTAACATGCCCGATATTCTGATGTCATAGGTTGCATTCAGCGTCTAACTGTCTAACTCCTCCCTCCTTTCTCCAAAACTCTCACAGTCTACAGCCTGGCAGTCTCTTCCATAACGAGATCTTGAGCACTGAACGATCTTAAAGACTTCTCGCCAGCTTGCAGCACCCCAAGCTCCACAGCAACGGCCCTCAGGCCCGTTGTCTCACTTGTGCACTGTCCCTGAGTGAGCAGCATGCACACGGCAACCTGTGGTGCCAAGGTGCCTGCCGGGACATGGAGCTGTCGAATGCTACAACGCATCCGTGGCATTCCTCAGAGAACGTGAGCATCTACTGCTTCAAACTCCCCACCCGTTTCTCTTCCCCTGCGACATCGACCTCGCACCTCCCTCCTCCTGAGGCAGAAGCCAATCTGGTCCCCGCGCAAAGACTGGACACCAGTGAGTTGTGAATCACAACACTGATGCTGGTAATGAGAACAAGCTCGGGACTGACAGGTCTCGGTCTTCCAACATGCAACGCGAGCACGCGAGTCTCGTTCGTTTGCAAGTGATTGGAATGATTGTGCAGGGTAGAGGCATTGGATGTCTTACGGATACACGGGACCAGCTTCTGTGCCTGCTGCAGCATCAGTATTAGATTATGTGCTTCTTTCTGGAAGGATTTCCTGGAGCCGGCAAAGATGCTGATGCTTGAGCCAGACGGGCAATGCGAAGCCAAAAGCGCATTCCCAACTTCCACACACCAAGACACCGGCCGGGCAGGAAGACGATCGCTCGGCAATTGAAGCTGCTGTGGACTATTGAATTGCCCATGCATTTTCAGCGAGTCATCTTCCCATTGCAGCACGATGCAGCTGCATCCATCTAGGCCCCCCATTCGAAAGTTGGCGGTAATAAGCCTCGCCCAGATTCAGCTGATGCCTCAAGCCAGGTCACATGAAGGTTGCACGATCTGATCACAATGCCACCAGTCGATGCATTCAGAACTGAGCCGCTTACCTTGCCCGCTCCTCAACAGACAGAATTAGAAGACATGCTTCTGAGACCAGCAGCTGCGAAGCAAAGCAGCCGGCCTCTTCCCAGCTCCTTGCGAAGTGCTTTCAACACACTGACATGAAGGGCCGTGTCCGCTGATTGCCTTGTGCCTGCGCTTCTCGAGGCGCGATGAAATTTTCTTGTGTATGACCTGCAGATGGCAGCCAGCAGGAATGACAATCACTATGCAGATGTCTGCTGCTGCTGGCCAGATCGCCTCGATTTCCCGCTCCAGCACATCGCGGAAGAATCGAACCTTGCTCGACAAGCGGCATGTCAGGGACTACCACAGTCTTGACAGTATGCAGGGCTTAGTTTCTCACGTCCGCCTCCTCTGAACACCGACCAACAAAGTGAAGTTGCCTGCGCTACAAGTACCAGCTAGTGAGCCGTGCGTTCACCTGCATGCTGAGACCTGCCGGAAGCTTGCGGAGCTGTGCGGTCCTTCCACACAAGGAGGAATTGCAAAGCGTCTGCAGCCACTCAGCACATCTAAAGCTCCTTGAGCTGAAGGCTGTCGCCCAGGATCCAAAGACCCTGCACGATTCCAAGCTCGAGCTCTGGCTTGGTCGATGTCGCTCCCAGCGCCTTCAGCCTGGCTTCGGCCTTCATCTTCTCCAGTCCAGATCCGTCAGCCCCGACCTCTCTACTGATGCAGCCCACGGACAAGGAACTGCTTCTCGCCTTCGCCTTGTCATGGCCCTCTTCTGGTTCTGCAGGAAGCTTCTCAAATAGAGCGACATGCTGAGCTTCAAGCCAATTCTGACACGAGGTTGAACCTGCATGCTGCCAAAGTAAGCAACTTGGCAGACAAGCAGCCATCGCTGTGACCGGCTGATGATGTCACGGTCAGGCTGCGCAATGCGCTGTCGGCATGTCGATCCAAAGCCAATTGCAATTAATTGCAATTATTGCGCATGTCAAGGCCCCACCTGTAGCAGTTGTTCTTGCGCTGCAAGACACGTTCCGACCTGGCGCCACTTAAAGGGCCACAGAAAAAAGTGTTGTTAGTAGCAAACATGCATGGAGGTCTCAGACCATGTGCCCGCAAGATCCGTAGGATCTGCCTGGCAACGATTGGCAACGCTTCATTTTTCTCGTTCAGCTCGGAAGGCAAAGTACGGCAGGACATCGACTTTGGCAAATGCAGACTCTAGCATTCGGGCTTGCCGGGAAGAGTGGGAACAGCCTGTGCAATGAATGAGCAGGCTGTTATGCGCAAGTGAGGTGGAGCATGCACGCTTGGAGGAGCCGAATACAATCGAATAGAAGCCCTGACGGAAAATAAAGCCGGTCTTCAGTGGCTCGTTACCAGCCACATCCCGGTGCCATCATGGGATGACTGCAAGAGAACTGACACAGCAACTGAAGCAACTGTGGTCATGCAGCAAACATGCAACGTCCACATCCACAATATCACATTCCGGAAAAACACAGCGGTTGGCAAGCTAGGGACATTCCTAGACACCCCCTCGAAGCGTGGAGCCGCGATACTACAAGGAAACATACCCGTATGTTGTGCACAGTGCCAGCCTCCTCAGGGTCCGCAGGTGTCAGCGCTTCGATGCACCGGAGGGCATCACGATGGTGCTTGAATCGTACATACCTGTGGAAACGCCGTTGCACACAGCCGTGACAGTGTGCCTGCGTCATGATGACTTGTGTCGTTGCTTCAACTAGCTGACAACGGACGATTATAAGCTGTTCGCGCGGTTGATTGGTTCATCTTCGTCCAAAGTACCATGTCGATTTCACCATCCGGAAACCATGGGCGCACCCCTCGTTTAAGGGTTCCACAGCGAACGGATCGGAGATGAGATGCAAAACATCCACTTCGCCGAAGCCCTGTCAAAAGAAGCGGGCTGACGAACGCAAGCGATTCTGCGCCACTGCCCAAAAACCTTACTTGTGCCTCGAAGTATTCTTGCAGCTGCTGTCTGGTCATATCATGCCTTCGGATCTGACGCCGAAGCAACGCAGGAAATCTGGGGCACACACTGTTAACAAAACATACAAAGGTGGCAAATCGAAGTTAACAATTAAAGCTCTTCGCGGGCAGGCAACGACACATTCAGAAATCGAAACCAATTGATACCGGACCCGAACGTTCGGTCGGAACAAACACGGCGATCATACGGAATTTGCTGCTGTGCACAACATGTCCGGCAACATGTCGAAAAATATGGATTCCTGGACGCCTCCGGTGTCGAGTTAAGACAATGTTCGCATGGGTTCGCAGAGCCTTTGAAAGCTTCGCTGTGTTTTTCGTCCAGTGGCAAAAGTCCCGAAATCGGCACAGGTCCGTGTGACTAACCCGAAACCTACAGCCACGGTACCGGAGCACGGCAGTGGCGCCGGTTCGCCGGAAGAGCAATCGGGATACAAGCTGGGAAACCATCGTTAATCTATAGGGTGCCAGGATCAAGATCAAATAAACACCGATACCGGAAACCGGACAGGAGACCGGGCAAATCCATACTACTGTGAAAACGATGGCGTCCCCGCACTGACCGGGAAGGCACGACGACGGCCTGCTACCATGCGATCTGGCAAGATGTCGTGTCAAAACCGATGTTAGAGGGCTGCAACAAGGCGCACACTCGGCTTCACAGCTTGAAGTCCGAACGGTCCACCAGACGCCCCTCCTGGACAGCTCCACGCACTGATTGCAGACCCATTCCAGAACGTTAGTTACCCCACTCATCGCAAATCCGGCAGTACGACAACCACATAGAAAACGGACGTGTGTCGTAACAAATCAGCAGCCAGAGCCCTTTGAGACTGAAGGTGCCGATGGTGCGAATTTATGAGAAAACTACACTTCTGCGGCTCACCGAATGCCACATGTGCAAGACCTGGAAATTCCGCAGCCTGAGATGCCCGAACAAGGGCGCTTGTGCACTATAGAGGAGAACTGGACTCACACGGGCCGCAGCAGGCAGGACGCGGCGGGCGCTGAGGCGGCTCGTGCAGCAGCACATTCGTGCTGCCCATGCGGATGGAGGCCGCAGGGAAATGCACAAGGGTCTCCGGACGTCTCCTCATCCTTTCCATGTGCCCAGCTGAAGCTGGAGCAGAAAGGCACCTGCTGTTGCTCTTGGCCGGGACGCCCTGCACAAACTTCGGCATGCTCACCCTTATGCTTCTTTCCACCAGGCACCTCGACAAACTCAGCTTCGCCTTCATCCGCTTGGCGCTTCTTGGGATCCTTGCGGGGCTTCGTCATGCTATATAGACAGGGTATAGAATGGTATAGAACACACGGAGCCATCATTATAGTTTGGAGCGCCACGTCGAGGGGCCAAATCATTCTGACCGGTCTCATTTTGCTGGACGTTGGACATGACAGTGTCCGCCACAAGCTTCCGCAACTGCTGACCCGCGCAGAGTCCGTGAATGGATGGCGGGTCAAAATCAGGAGGGGCAGGGCAGCTCAGATGGGCAGCTAATGCGCGGTGGAGCCAGGCTTGGCGTGCACCAAGTCAACTCGGACCACCGGGCCACCGGGATTTGAACACGATCTTGTTGTGCTCCATTGACAGCAAGTTCTTGGGGCTTGCTCCAGCTCATTTGATTTCGTACCAGTGCCTCGCGCAAATTCAAGGGCACGTGACAAACAGGTCTGAACGAACTTGTCCACGAGCATATGCATCAGCTCCATGGCGTGCTTGATCAGCAATCCGGCGGTCTTGTTCTTGGGCATCTTGCTTGCGCCACCCTCTGAAGCTGAGCCGGTGGCACCGCGAAAGTAATCGCTCCAAAGCCTACACGTCGCAGCCTGCTTCGAAAACTCCCCACATCATGCGAAACTCACCAAGCTCGGCCAGATATTTAACCATGGAGCCATAAACCCCAGTGGCAAAATGAAGTGTCGACATCGTGGGGGTCACAACCTCGGTGATGTTCGATCAAGACGGGGACTTGAACGTGGTTACCGTCGTCACCATGCACTCTGGACACGTCGTGGCAAAGAGCAAAACCAATCATCTGAGCTTGCGCCAGCAAAGGGCACGAGCCCTAAAAACGACTCCTTCGCAGCGGCGACACCCGGCGTTCTGACGGACGTGCGGGCTGCAAACCTGACAGAAAACAAGCGGAACCGGGCCGCAAGTGGGCATGTGCCCCAGTCGCCGGCATCGATCGCGTTGGCTTCGTCGCCCATGTTTTCACGAGATTTACTCAGCCAGGTTTCAAAGGTGCACTTGACAACACAAAAGCTGATCGGAAGACATCCTGCGAGTCGCAACGCAATGCAATTATGGACAATTATAGATCTAGCGTCCGCCACCTTTTGGGGCAGCGCCGACACCATGTTCTGGCGCTATGAGGAGGCTCGCCTTCTGAACACGAAGGCCGCGGGCAAGCAAGATCAAAGAACCCAGACAGTCACACACGGGATTAATCAGGTCCGACGGCACACTAGGACCATGCCCACAAGTGACATCAGTCACGATGCAGCAATCATGCACACAAGCGGCAATCACCAGCGCATCCCGCACACGCCGCAATCTGGCGAGCACTATCGAATCCAGGCAGGCCGCTTTGTGATACCAACCTGAAGCGACGTTGACAAGCCAGGGGCCTTCGATGGCATGCGAAAGACTCCAACTCCGCACGTTCCTCCTCGCTATCCAGCTCGGCCAGATCGTCGCTGGCACCGGTACAGGCATCGTCCACATCGTCCACAACGCGTCTGACTGTGGCCACCACTGCATAGCCCGCAGGCTTCGACAAGTGACGTAGAAGCTGTCGACAATGCGCATTTTACATCAACCTTGCGCAGACGCCCGAACTCCTGCGCCAGCGAGCGGCCCCCAGTTGGACCCACATGCCCCACTACACACGGCGCCCCATAGCATGCCGGCGGAACTCGTTTTGGTTCGTCAACTCCAACTTCGGATACTTCCGCAGTTCAGGATCACTGAGTCGAGGTCTAGGCGCTGTGCGTCGCTCCATTTCAGCCCGCCCGGCCCACAGCATGAGGAAAAAACACAAAACACGCCACTTATCCCCATGCTCGCAGGACCCCGGCGCCTGCTCCAGCTGCATCACCGCAAGCAAAGGCAAAGGAAGCGCCTCCCACATCGTAGAAGCTGTCCACTTGCTGCTGGCCAACCATGCTGCTATGGGGGCAGAACGCAGGATACGCAGGATCTTGAGCAGGGACTCCAGCCTTAACTTGCGCTCAGCAAACCGTAAGGCCTGAACAACACTTTTCGCTCTTCCACAGCGACCCTTGCCACGATCCAGCTTCGCTCCCGCGGCTAACGCGTCCAAGAAGTCTAAGATGAATGCCAGATTGACAGATGCCGGGGCCAAGTGTGCTCCCTGTCACAAAGCCAACCATAATCTCCAGCCTGGCAAATGTTTACGCAGTATGCCTGCAGAACGGTCGGAAACCAAGAAGAACATCAGGTCACGGCTTCGATTTGCTACGATCACTTAACTCGTGCAGCACCGAACTTTCTTCCGCCACACGGTCGACCCAAACGCCAGCCCACTTCAAACGGGCATCATCTTCAAGCACACGCAGCGAGAAACCACCATTGCCAAACCCCGGAACAAGCATGGCGTTGCCAATAGGCTTCGTAGGGCAGGCCACGGCGGCCTCCGGCCTCCGGAGCTTTGTGATTGAGGCTACCATCCTGACCCTTAACTCGCTAAAACAGACGGCGAACGGTATGAAGGTTTGGGCACCGAAGAGACTTCTGTAGAACAAAGCGGCTGCACTTGCTGTAAAGGGCGTGGCTGACCTCCCGGAGGATACGGCATCGCCCACACTATGCTAAACAGGGATGGAGAACATGGCAAGCAAAAAAGAAGAGAACAGAGCGCAAAATCAGCTGCTTGTGACCTGAACAAGCGGATGGACCTGAACAAGAAGAAACTTGGCAAACCAGGCTGCACGCACAGGACATGCAACTCTGCAGTGACCAACGAGGGCTACGTGTGTGCCTTGGCCTAGCCGCCTAGCCCACCAAGCCCCAAGGCAAACACCCCCGGCAATGTGAGGAAACTCTCGAGCTTGTAGTAAGAGCCTGGCAGTGGCAGATTCCGGACCTCGTGCAAGATGCCGCGAAAAGAAACCAAAATGATGTCGTTGCTTAGCCAGCGGCATACAGCTCTCGATCTTCGGGTCCAGGAGCTACCTCTCCACCAGAGTGAATGTGCGGTGCTTTCGTCAGACATCAACAGAAGTCTGTCGTCCTCTGAGGGTCTTCGGCTCAAAGCCAACTGGTCAACGAAAATGCTGACCTGGAAGCTGCCATCCTGCAAGCAGCTGCTTGTGGCCGCATGAGCTCAAAGACCGCATCTGCAGTTGTTGCCGAGACCACTGCTCAGCTGATGCAGGCCCGAGACGCAAGCATGCAAGCCCAGAGGCTTCTAGCATCGCTGTGACAGAACACTGCTTCGGCGTTCAGAGCTAAACATGGCAACATCTGGAATCTGGGTGCACGGCCGACCAGGAGCTGCTGTGCCAGCGGTGGCACGCCACAACGCACTCCTGGCGTTGACATGAGGGATGTCCTGCTTCACTGCAATCATGTCACGCAGCGAGCGCCTCAACCAGGTCCCCGTCGCCAACCTTTGTTTTGTGCAAGTTTGTAACGGCCTGGCTCAGGGAATCAGCACAAACGCGTGCAGAGGCAGGCCCAGCCTTGTCCATGGCTTGGTTGTTTCGGAGCTTCACATATGCAATTCGCCCTGAGGATCGCACCTCCAAGCAAGAATATCAGTGCTCGTGAGGGGGAGCTCGTAAGCCTGGACTATCTTAACACGTATCACTGGCAAGTGTTATTCGAAGAGCGTTGAAATTTGACTTGGCTCTGAATGGGCTATGAAGCTTACACCCCGTGATGATTTAGATTCGGTAGATTCGGTTAAATATGACGAATATGACCGAATACTATTTGAACACTCATTACATATTAGCTGCCTTAGCATGTACTTGTGTGCAGATGTCATGGAACAATATTCTCACACCAGCGAGATTTTAGATACAAAAACACGAGATGTTGGATAAGCTGCCTGCGACCATAAAACGCTAAACGCTTGTGAGGCGAATACTGATCTACTTTTCCTGTTTGTTAACCCAGTAACCAGACATATTCGTGTAATTCGATACTGAACATCAAGTAGATATCGAACACATTAGATCATGTGCTACTGTATCAGCTATTATAATCTAGACATTAAAAACCGGCTACATGATGTTTATACTGTATATACTAGACATGTTAACAGCTGAGTAAGTTTTGGCCAATATTCGACTTCGAACTAATTATATCTTGACCAAAGCAGCAGGAAAGTCCAATTTCAAAAACAGCATCAACGCAAGACTTGCAGGCGTGCAGGAGCGATCCCTGAGTACATCAAGGCAGAACAACGGTGCTCAGTCTTGTTGCATCAGATTAAGACAAGACGATTGTTGCAATATCAACAGCACTTACTCATATGCACTCCAACACATCAAGGCGGAATAACAGTCCAGAGCACTGAATACAACCTTCTTATTGGTTCCTACTCATACATGTAAGTAGCTCAATCCGCCGGATAGAAAAATAGTGCGAAGTACCAAGCCGTTGGCTGTAGCTGCAGCATCAGCATGTGCCTCACCCGACACGGTCGTTGCAATGATGTCCTTTTCCTCGCGAGCTGCCGGAAAGAACAAAGGAACTGGAAAGCACTGGCTCTTTTTTCTACAGCAAGAAGATGCAAGAAGCACCTGGCAAGGCAGGGCTGTCGTGTTGAATTCTGCGTTGGCCATGTTAGGGCATGGGGAGGACCGTTAAGCCGTTAAGCCAGGGTGAAAGTTTACCGGACTGGTGTCAACCGCACCCGCGCCTATAAGGAACCGCTTCCTTAGCGAATATGAAAGGGCCCACACAGTCTAACTGTAAGACCTTGCTGTAGAGAGACAGAGACAGAAGGGTTGTGGCAAGTGGGCTGCAGAAGGCCAACTTGGGTACAAAGGAGAATCACACCCTGTTGTAAGTTAATGAACAGGATGTGATTCTTTGGGTCGGCCCCCGCCCCAGCTGATGCTAGTGATGGGCTTGGTGGGTTTTTGTTGAAACCCGGCCAGCCATCGCCCCCGACACTCGCGGAGATGTTCACGCTCCAGAATGGAAAGAAACGAGCCGCAAGGAACTGCACCTCGAGTTCGATCCGATTCTTCGGAACCGAACCCAACCACACCCGAAGTTCCCTGTCTTTAGCAGACGTCATCCTCGTCTTCGATGAAGACGGACGAAAGTCCACCAAAAGGTGCAAACACAAACCTGCACAGGCACACACTATCTGCAGCTGCAGCCAGCCTAGGCTGTTGGTCTATGATTGCACGCTGCCGGTGCCGCTTTTGCCAACTGCGCGGTAGCAGAACCACGTGATTGCAAGTGATTCGACAGCACGGCGCCAAGTCTTTGTACAGCCATGTGCATTGCGACATGCTCACGGGATCGACGCGTTCGCGAGGCTATTGGCCAAGTTTGGGCTTAGAGAACCTAGGCAGCTGACCGCACCAAGCGACCAACAATTGCCGTTTCTTCGACTCCAGCATTGTCGCTTGAGGCCAGCACCACCCTCGCAGTCGCTGCCATGTGCAGTCCTGACAAGCAAGCTGCAACGGCTAGAATGGCAGCGCATGGCGATCCCATTCGACCTGTTCAACAAGCCAAGTCTCCGTGGCATCTTTGATGCTAGACGCTCCAAGCAACCATAACCCCGCGGCCTTGCATCAGAGCAGGACATCAGAGGACTTACAACAAATCACCATGCAACTGTCCATTCGGATGTCCGAGTGCAACACCCCCAGGGAGAGCAAGAGGAGTACAGATGCCTGGCCCGACATTACGACTCCCCATGTGTTCTTTCAGCTGCCGTGCGTGTGCATTTCGCATACCATTGCAATTTGCCCGAGATCTGGCACCCATCGGTTTGTGGCACTCGTCTCCACCACCGCACGAGGTCCATCCTCAAGAACGCAGGCTCCCGCCTCCTAATCGTTCGGACTTGCTGTACTCATGGCGGAATACTCGGTATGCAATTCTATGCACATCTCTTGCCGATAATGGAACGTAACAGGACCCGCGCAGTGACACCCAAAGCGCTTTGAAGGCTTGCGACGGCCTGTGCATGTCAATTGGATAGCATCGCTCTTGCATTCAGGTCTGGTGCAACCGTTCAACTGGCAAAGCCCGGGTGCCGAGCCTCCGAAATTACGCGTCCGGCCTGCACATGTCCACAGTTCGAGCACAGAAGCTATCAAATCAAAGATTACAGCGGCAGTCCTGTCGATACCTGAAGGCGCAGTTCATGTACGCATGCATCAGGCCGTCAGCGCACAAACACGCAAAGAGCGGTAACCCCCCCTCCGGCAGGAGGGTCGGCATGCTTACATGGGTGTTAAAGGAACTGCGAAAATGGTTCAAAATCCAAAACTACATGCCTGGAAAGATCACATGGAAGCTTGGCCCGAGGCCTGGCTAGCACTGTCAACTAGCAACAATCCGAACAGTGGAAAGCTCGCGCATTCTTTTGATTTGGAAGCAGCTTGCCTTCGTTTCATCGAGAAGTTTTTTGAAAGTTTGTGCGGGCGCTGAAGCAAAGAGAGGGAAGAAACACCAAAAAGAGGAATACCATGCGTGTGCACTGACCGGTCAGAGTAAAGGCATCATCCGATGTCTTGTAAGCGAGCTACCCTGCGCCCTGGACCGAGATGCAACACACATGCTTGCGATTTGGAGCTTCCAGATACCAGGACCCAGGACCCTGCGACCCTTGCAATGTGTGATGAAGTGCCGGAATGGCAACCATCGATACTGGCCCTAGGCCAACCCTGGCTTGCTTCTACAGCTCGACGGATCTCGCGAATTGTTGCGCTTTTTCGTGCACTCTTGAGCACCCCAGAAACCGGGCGTTCGTCCTCGCGCCTGTCGCAAGTGAATAAGATCCCGTCCAAGCTCTCGACCAGCCGAAGACGGAGACTCCAGGCGTTCACACCAGCTTGAGCAAGCTCAGACGTCTGCATCACCAATCATTGATTGGTCTGCGTTTGGGGCTCTTCTCAGACGACGCTCAGCATGCTGTCTCGCTTGCAGTTCTCGAGGGGTGGTAGTCTTGACCAGCGATATGCGCTGACATGAAACCAAGGATGGCGGTGCTGCACCAGCGAAGCAAAGTTTGTTTTCTGTTCCCCTGCGTTCAATGAAGTTCTGCATGCGCACTACCCGCTTTGTGGATATTTGTGGATGCCCCCTCTTACAATCTGCTGACACCAAAGCCAATCTAATTTCCGGGGAGCACCTCGCATGCACTGAGCATCTTGTTTGCCTTGTTTCTTTGTCTGTCTCTGCTGGCAGTCAGGACTGGATTGTCGCAAACAGGACTCAACCAGCCTGCGTGGACAGTGGAGAAGGCATTTGTGGACCGACCTGCTTGAGAGCAAGAAAACGAGTCTGGTTGGACATGTCATGCACAGCATGTCACAGCCAACCTCTCGTAGAGCAACCCGCGTCTCGTATGCCTGTGCCACTCTCAGGCTGGATGCGTATGGCGGTGCATCGGCTCAGCTCAGAGTTTGACCCAGAGCCAGCTATGGATGTGGTAGAATAGCTGCTTGGGGGCAACCTTTCGTTTCACCACTCTTGTCTCCGAGACCCTGTCATTAGGCAAGTGCAAAGGCGATGCGCAGCGAGCTACAGTTTCGTGCCGAGAGTCCCCAGCAAGCCCAACAGCCTGGGTAACAGCTCAAGCTTCATAAACGTCTGTGCCATTGCATGTCTTTTTTGACCGACCAGTCACCCGTAAGGAAAGATTGAAAGGACGCGGCTGCACAATACCATTGCAGCAACTGCCGGCTGCGAGGGAATTGGTCCTATGTTCTGAAGCAGGGATTGCACGCATTGTGCTCTTCGGAAAATCACGTGAAAACCGCGGGTCCTTGTGCAAGACGCCAGATGACGAAAGCACTTCAACCGCAAGAAGCATCCCCAACAGTCCATCCAGCCTGCTACAGTCTTCTGAATCTGACTGCATGCACAATACACATTTGATTTGGAGGCATGTTTCCACACATGTGCCTGCTGTCCAAAGGCAGTGTTTGGTAGTACTGCCACAAGTCTTCTCGGCTCTCACTGAGAAACGGCGTTCGCTCAATCCTCAAGGTACATCGACTTCTACCACGTCAGCGGTCATCGGTGCACTCAAGCTGGACAAGGCGGAAACACGACAGCCATCTCTGAACCGCGCAGAAGCCAGGATGCCACCTCAGGCGGCAAGTAGTAGTCACGACATGTTCAGTCGATGCCGCCAATAAACCTGCTTCGTGATAGTGCACGGCGCAAAATGATACAAGATGTCGTGCTTTCTGCCTTTCTCACGCCTCACACGACCTTCAGTGCTTGGCAACAGTCAACGCTGCTCAGAGCTGTTACTTGGGCTCACAATTGCAGCAACAAGCTCCCAGAACACCTGGAGGCATTCTAACACTCTGTAGGATATGCTAACAATTTCAAGCAGTAACATCGGAAGAGGAATAACTTCACCAGCCTCTTCGCTCTGAAACTTGTAAGGTGTTAGTTACTGTCACTCTTCCGTGGCCTTTGTCGGGCTCGGTACGAAAGCTTTGAGTTTGGACATGGTCTTTGCCGCAGGCGTGTAGCTTTAAGTTATTGCTTGCCCCAAAGGGATCTGAGAGCAGTTGACAACTGATTTGGGCTGATTTGGCTGGCCTGGGAAGCTTCCCCGGCACGCCGGCTCCACTACTCCTGTTACGGTGCAAGCTTGCGCATGTGCAAATCACGGACACACTTGGCAGTTGATTTGGGCCACCCGAACCTTTCCGCCGGCAAGTCTACGCTCCCTGGTGCCACTTGATTTCGCTATGCGTTGCAAGTTCAAGATGTGCCCAGCCCTGATGACCGAAAGCTTTCTGCTGAAGCCACTCAGCCATCCAACGCGTGCCGAAGAAGTAGAACCACATGACATCACGACAATATGATCGTAGTTCACTTGTGCAAGGACGTGTGTAGCTGCACCATGTTCTGCCAAGTCAAGCGCCCATTGCACTGTTCTCGCCGCTCTGGCCTCATGTGGCATGACTGACTGGGGTTTCTGGCTGCAGTCTGTTCATGGCCCTTCACAACTCTGCTGCTGCCGTCGCTAACAAGCATAGGTGTCGCACGTGCGAGACCGTCGATGCATCAGGTGCTCGCCTGAACCAAAGCGCGAGGTATCCAGATGAATCCACGACGCCGCGAGAAAACACTTCACTACCGGTCTTGTGCCTTTCGGGTAGGGCAACTGTAAAGGCTCCTGGCTGCCAGCCAGCATCGAGACCGGCTTCCATACAAGAAATCCACCAGCCTAACAAGGTGCTGGAGGAGGCTAGCAGCCTTCCGAACGGCTTGAGACAGAGCGAACGCCCGTCTGCCAGGCGACAGTTGGAGCAGGCCTTTCCACTCCATCTGTTCCATGGGACATTCGGCAAGGGATTCAGTTTGCTAGCAATTGAAGTGATGCCCACAGTCTACTGATGTGCTGCAGCTATCATGAGGCTGCCGACACCTTCATCTATATGGCCATGCAATGCAGCTACTCTGCGTAGGACTGGTCCACAGCCAACGCGCTTCAGCTTGCCAATCCACAGGCACTGCGATTCATGGCTGGGGCCCGCACTTGAGACCCTTTTCTGACCAGGACGACGGAAACCCACGCAGGACGAGGCTACCTCGCACCTCTCTGCAGGGGTCTCTCGCAACCGCGCCCCCACCTGCTTCTCGCCTCTGACACGTGGGCTTCATGCACACGGGCCTTGTCCAAACAAACTGATGATTCTCGCCCTTCTGGGTTTACAGCTAAATGTCTCTGGGCATCTCTGGGCACTCGGCGAGGGCTTCAGCGAGGAGCTTCCAACATTCTTCTGCCTAGCCGCCGGCTCGCAAATGCCCTGAAGACTCCAGACTCAGAAAAGATGGCACCCGAGATCCTCCCTTCGGCTTGTGTCCTGTATCTGTGTGAGACGTGTGATGTCTGAAGCAACCCCTGGCAGCAAGGACTTGCAAATCGCCCACACCAGCGTACTGTGGAGCTGTCTGATCATTGCTGGTGCAGTGGAACATCTGTGCAGGAGCTGTGGCCTGTCGAATACGGTTGCTGTTTATTTTGATGGCTGGTAGTACTGCTGGTCGGCGTATCTGGGCTCCTTGAGAGTTTCAGATGTAACTATCGAAGGAAGAGGAACTGAAAGCATTGCTTTGTCCCCCTGAATTTCGCGACCCCATCAGCAACTCGACACAAGCAGTATCAATATGGCCAGTGCCAACCTGCCCTTACACTGAATCCTGAACTTCATGGAGTCTAGGGTTCAGTGTGGTTTGTATGTGTATACACATTCTGAGCTTCATGTCGTGCGCGGAGACGGAAATATTCTTCAAGGAAACTCCACACCCAGGGGACGCTGGCAAAGAGACTAAACCATGAAACTATTTCCTTGTCAGTCGGTTTTCAATCGCCTTAGATCGAGAATCTGGAGAGCGCCAACCTGTTTAATTGGTTTTCAAGCATGGCAGTTCCTGTAAGTGGCCGGACTGAGCCTGCACTCACAGCCTCCAACATGACATCATGATTCGTCGCGCAATGCACTCCCGCAGTGCCAGGTTTCTGTCTTTGCGTAGTTCTTTCGATTGCTGGAGATGCGTGGTCCAGTGGACTGTCTCTTGTACCAATGTTCGATCAGAGCCGGAGCGCACATGCAGCAGTCTGTTCAAGCACAGCATGAAATCAATGAAAGCACAAGGCAGGCCACATCAATCGGATTGTCACCAGGATCTGGCATCACAGCAACCTGCTCGTAGTGACGAGATGCCTGCAAAGACTCTCCACATCGCACCACGAAGAGAACGTGCTGGCTGCCCAGCCTGCACGCTTTTGCCGACTGACGAGATTGCGAGGGCCGATCCGTACTTACACTGCATGGAGGTGACGTTAAAAGTACCGGCACAAGACGCTGTGCATCCTTATCCTGCTTCTCCGCCTACGGAGCGAAATCGATTTGTCCCAGGACGATCAGATTGCTCTCTCGATGCTTTCTGACCCGTTAGCAGTCGCTTTCGAGCCTGGGAACACAAGCCTCCCTCGATGACACAAGACCGGATTCCAACAATAACACTGTGTACCAAAAAAGCAATGAAATGCACCATCCATCCAACTGGTTTCAGGCTTTCGGGCCAGTCAAGGAATTCTAAACCCGATCGAGCATGTGAGAATGTCACCTACACTTCCATACCTTGCTTGGCGCCATGAAAAAATGAACAAAGAGGGTCAGAGTCACGCATGTTTCTCTTTGGTTGCTTGCACTCTTCCTTGCGGCCTGCGACTGGTTCTTTTGTGTCGTCTCCGTGAGAGTGAGGGAACGATCGGGGCAAAATGCGGAACAGGGACAGCGAAAGAGCGCCATGATGTGAATTGCTGACGGGACTTCGCATAAGGCAGGTGCGTGCCAAGGACGGGATCGAGAAGCTCCACATATAAGGAGCTTGCGCCAGCAGCCTCTCAAACTCACTGAGACTGATGCGAGGGGCTTCGGCATTCCCGGCATTCGGACGTGGCCTGGCATATCTCCTGCAGTCTGCCTCCCCCTGCCCCTTGCAGGTGCTGTAGCATGTTCAAGCCGTAGGCCCCACGTGTGCCTCGCATGGCTTTGCCGAACTTCATCTCAGTGAAACCAGTTCTCTGTCTCTGCATGCCATGGCCTCTCAGAGCCCTCTCGGACTCAGACCACGAAGCCTGACACGAAACTCAAGCGGCCTGCTACATCCCAGTTTTTCTTTCCCGCCTTCGACACTCCATCTGCACCAGAAACACCGGCAATTGCCTGAAGAGAAGTCAGAAACCCATTGCACGGCGCTGCCCAGCCGCAGCCCAGCTCGGAGCCTCCAGCGCTTTCAGAGCCTCCGAGTGACTCTTGAAGCGCACGTAAGCCTCTCGAGTTGCAGTCGAAGAGAGAGGACGACTCACGACCGAGCTACACTCAAAGGAGCCTTGCCAGTGGGCCTCTGCTGCATGTCGCGGAGCAACAGAACCTGTGACTGCCCGATGTCTCGCACGGGATGACGATATTTTCAGGGTTGGACCTTCGTGACCCTGGAATGTCACGATGTTTCAGCCGGAGGCTGTGATTGACTACATAGTTGCTGAGCATGCTTCGGTTCACCAGTCCGTCCGAAACGATTGATTGATTTCACCGTGGGTGGAGGAATCGAGCGTGCTCTGCCATGGTAAGAACGCTGCAGCAATGATCGGTTGGAGACTTGGTGCGACTTCTGGAGAACATCGTCCGAAGTTTCTGACGTAGACGTACTCTCTGTTCGACCTGATTGTTTTGCTTGACCGTAAGTTTGCGGTTCGAATTGCCTTTTCTGTGTTTACTTGTATGAGGGATGGCGTCAGATGTTCAATTAGTTCAAATGAAGACTGAGCTGCGTCGGCGGAGCAACGGCTTGAACCCGCGATCGTCTCGGCGCACTATGTGCTGATGTGTGGTATACGAGAGGCCTTACAAGATGGAGTACGGGGTGTTGACAGCATGCGACAGTACCCACGAAAGAAGCACGTATGGCAGCAATGTCGTCATTGGATGGAACAACTTGACAACAGCAACATTGTATCAAAGCTCGAGAGTTCGACCACGTGGACTCCCCCCCCTTCCCGCTCCCCCCCCCACCCCCGCTTTGCCCTCCCCACACCAGGAACCGCTGCCCCGAGAGATCCTCGCTATCTAGGTTAGGTCCAGATCCCCGAGGCCGCCGTGATTTACTTTTTAAGGACATCAGCCTTTTCAGCTCGGAAACACCTCCTGATTGCCGTGCGCATCCTTCCGAAAGATATGACTTCATATCCGCAGCAATCGTCTTCAATGCGCACAGATTTCAGGTGCCACATGGAACGATTCGGGGAGTATCGTCTTGATTGCTGGCGGGAGGAAGATCCAGGACAGCCGTTCACGTCGCATCGGAATTCATTGGTGTGTCCTCAACACATGCTTATCTTCTGTGCACTCGCTTGCGATCAAGGAGTATCGCCTCAAGCTACCAGTATACATAGTGCCAGCTGCATTTTTGTTGCATACTCCGCCAGCTGAACCCTGCAAATGAACCGAGACTGTTGCCCTGTCGATTTAACAATCTGCTGGATCATTTGCCACATGCCTGTGCAGCACAGGACTGAGAAATTGCCCCTTCGAAGAGGGAATGTGTCTGTGCGCAAGACCTGATTCATGCGTCATTAGGGCAGGTTTATAATAGGGTAGTCCACACACTCTCTCCATTTCCGAAGCGTATCTGGCGGGCCGGTTTTTGGGATAGTTTAGCCTGATGATCAGTTCCTCACCCTTGTAGTCGTCTACGTCTACTCTCGATACAAATACCATGCTCTGTTTGGGCACTCGTTTGCCAGGTCTCGGAAGACAGGCTCAGTGGGCAGGACAGAAGATGACAAAAAGGAGTCAGTGCGTGCTAGGTTTCGGATATCGGGGCCGACTCTGCGAGATTTTCTCCGCCCTTAAAGACTTGGGGGGGTTCAAGGACACCCCACAGGATTTAGTTTCCAGCAAACATCAGTTGTGGACAAGACTTGGGTAGGAAGTACAGCGGCTACCGAGAGCACTAACGAAGCAATGACAGCGACTCCGATACCGGACGGACCACACCAGGACGGAAACTACAGCAGGGAGAAGCAGAGTCATGAAGAGATTCACCTCAACGACCCGCTTGTCTTCGGGCCTGGCGAGGCAGAACTTAGTCTTAATGCAAGCTTTCAGGGTTGGACTGCGCTGCACATGAGACATGTTGCAAATCTTCGGGAAGCCGCCTCGCTGAGAATTGGACTTCCGACATTTCGTACACTTATCAAGGACCCGAGTCCACTTCTGCGGACGGACAGTGCTCGGGCTGCAAGTGACAGGGGCATAGACAGGTCAAGTGTCAACGAAGACGATACTTATCTACCGGCCACGATCCCGAGCCCGCAGATTGCTCGCACCTGCGGCGATTTTTCATGGCAACAGGCTAACTAACCCACGAGCCCGACCTTGAACGGTTCTTGCGACTTGTTCAGGTGTAAGATCAAACGCGAAGGTAAGCACACGGACAACGCTGACATTGCCTGTCGCACCAGGTGTACCCAGTTACGACGATGACCACCTTTAACCATGTTCGTACGTGCGGGGGGGCGTGCGGGCGTGCATGCGGCCTGCGAGCGTGCCGGCGAGCGGGCGTGCGAGCGTGCGAGCGTGCGTGTGCGTGTGCGTGTGCGTGTGCGTGTGCGTGTGCGTGTGCGTGTGCGTGTGCGTGTGCCCGTGCGCGTGCGCGTGCGCGTGCACG